AAACCAAAGGAGTAAAAAATCAGAAGATTTCAGTCTCCAAAAGTCAGACACAATCAAATTTCACATGGAGTAGAAAATTACAAAAAGTTTTTTTTCTCCTCTAAGCAGAATACATATTATTAATTATAAAGATATATTCTGAGATCATCACATAATGACCATCTATCCTAACATTTATGAAATAAATCTCATAACTTATAAAGGATAGAAAAAATAATAATCAAGGGAAATAAAGATAGAACCTGATTTTCACTCCCATTGAATCATATTCTATATGTCAGTAATGATTCCATGCAAGTCACTTTTCTTGCTAATTTTCTTTCTTTCCCATTTTCCATCATATTTCAATTTTCCTTAGAAGACATTGAATTCAACGATAAACTAAACTCATGTTCAAATATTGTTGGGAGAAAATATTTGTTCATTTACTTCTTCTCATAGTTATATAAAACCAAGAATATAGGAAAAATAATTAAAGTGTTCATCTTAGCCTGTAAGCACAAAATAACTTTTCTCATTGAAAAGAAAACTAAAGGGGTGCAATGCTTGAATGCACTAAGGAATAAAAAAATAATAATCTTACCCATCCAAGAAAAACTTACTACAGAAAATATACTCGAACATATTAAAGTAATACTAGTTCATCCCAAATCTCTTTTATCATATGATAAAATAACTCTCTTTTTCTTCGTTTTTTTCCCCCAAAAACAACACAAAAAATAAAAGTAATTTTCTTACCATTGAAAATACCATCATTATAAATTTCTTAAGCTTGTTGACTCCTGTATTCAGATTAGCAAATCAGAAATAATAAAAGATGAAAAGAAAAACAAAGAACTATCCGAGTCCACAGAACCCACTGTCACTACTAAAAAAAATAGTGTTTAGCGACGGATAAATCCGTCGCAAATAGACATATATCCGTCGCTAAACTATATTTGCGACAGATTAGCGATGAAATGTTGACCGTTATAATTTTGCTCGTAGCTAACCCTTTTGCGACGGCAAAATTGATTCCGTAGCAAGATTAGCGACGATCTAGCGACATATGATATCCGTAGTAAAATGGTAGCGACGGAAAGTTTTGTCGCTAGATTTATATATTTCGTTGCAAATTACATAAATGAATTCGTCGTCCTATAATTTTACGACGAAAATAATTTATCGCTAATCCGTCGCAAACTTTTGGCAACCAATTATTATTTGTCGCAATCCGTCACCAATTTTAATTCTTTAACTATTCCTAAAATCCGTCGCAATATTCCATCGTTAAATTTGTCGTAGGTATAATTCTTTCTATTCATTTTATTTATTTATTTATAATATATAGAAAATGTAAATTATTAAACATCCTAATAATAACAAATATTCATATAACATAAATGTTACTTCATATATAACCCGTGCACCAAAACATATATTCATCTAATATTAAGTCCAAAACATCTACACCAAGTATCAAACATCTAGCAATTACTAATGTTTAGAACTCGTAATTGTTACTGCATAATTTGTTTTCCTTTAACAAAAATCAGATAAGAAAAACTAATGCTAGGGAGAAGAAATATGGTCATCATCTGAAACAACCTTATTAGGCACCATAGGTGTTGCTGATGATGCGTCACCAATAGGAGTATGAGCTGATTGATGTGATGGTAAATAAGTTACACCTTGTATGCGCTCAAGTAATATAGGAATCATGTGATCAGTCAATGTAGGAATCAATTTCTTCACGAACTCATCCATATTTTCCATCGGTGCAGATTGAGAAACAGATGGTGGTATTGATGATGAAGCATCAAATTGAGAAGAGATACAAAGATTTGGTCCGTAGTAACTTTTTATTTGAATTCCAAGACCATATATTCTTCTCTTCTTTTCTCCATCTGCAGCTTGATAATATGCGTCACGTTGATCATTATCAGATTCAGACTCAATTTTCTCACGTAATATTTCTTCATATCTTTCCTGCAATAAGTAGAGACCATTTAAAAATTATAATAAAGAATACTAACTATCAGTTTCTCCAAATAAAAGAATATGAATGTCAAAAGTCGATAATTTTATAAATTCTACTTACATGAACAATTTGTGCTCGCTCATCAACAAAAGATTTTCCATCGTGATCATGTGTGTGGACGTGCAAATGGAGCTCACTTGGTGTTGGGGTCTCGACCCTTTTCAATAGCCTACCCAAAAAAATAATTGCCCCAGTTATGTTATGAACAATATGATATAATTAGGTAAAGTATTTCAATAAACATAAAAAGTCTATTTAATTTCAATGAGGAACCCACAATTGAGGTCGCCCCTATGGCAGAAATAATTCTAACAATTCAAATCGTGCCTCTAAAGATGAAGTAACCAACATTTGTAAGAATTGAGATATCTTTCATAACTTTCTTATGCAAGTTTCAGATTCAAAAATCGGCGACAACGAGTCAAAAACTGTCCAGAATAGTACTTGGTGACAAAGAAAAAGATTCACGTTCAGATTCAAAAATCAAGTTATATAATAAGAAGTTATTCATATTCAATCTATTGCATGCAATGTCTCAAGACAATCTGAAATATTTATCTCCCTTCTTCTATAAGCAAGACCCATTAAGGCTCTTCTTACAATAAAAAATAGATTCTAAGGCAACTAACTATTATAAGCTTGTAGAGGTAGTACTGGTGGTGAAAATTTTTGAAACAATTAATATGTACCTATACTCATGTGTTGGATATTTTTCTTTAAGCCGAGAATTTATCGGAAACAATCTCTTATCTCACAAAGGTATAAATAAAGTCTATGTACATCCTACTCTCTCTTAATTTTACTATATTACGTGCTAGCGCTAGCCAAATATCCAGGCAGAATATATCTCCATTTTCTTATGCCATCTTGGTAGAGTTCACATCTTTGTACACATTCAGGCAAAGCTTTTACATGTAAAGTTCAAATCTATACATTTTTCCCTGTAACTTTTTATTTTCTCTAACCAACTATTATAATGTGGGGCTTTTAAGTTTTTCCAGCCAACATACAGTTCTAGCTAAAGACATCCATCACCCTATACAATAGGCAAAAGTATATGTCAATTTATCTATTTGATTTTGTTCGCCTTATGTCCAAATTTACTATCAGAAAGAATACAATTAAGAGTTTAAAAATCGAAAGTGTCATCAACAACAATTGTATGTTGCACCAAAACAGATGCACTGCAACAACAGTCCCAAAACATAATTGAACAAAAAAAAAGAGGCACTTCTACTATTTGTGTACTATCGACTTTTAGTAATGACTAGAAGATAAGGAAAATGTATTTTGTCGAAGAATATATATTGCGTGAAATATATACTTACAAGTTTCTTACGATGCTCCCCAATAGAGATAGATCCACCTGTATGAGTTCCGATAGCAGCTTCTCTTCCTCCACGACGATTTTTTTTATTTGTTTCTGACTTCGCAACATTCTCAGGAGCTTGCCAAAGCCTCATCCAATTTTCCCACACAATATCAGTTACATATCCGGGATTAGTTCCGTTCTTCTTTATTCTGGAAATAAAATCGCTATATCGTAGTGATGCCTTAATCTCCCATTGTCTTTTCACTGCATTTTCATTAGTTGAAGAGTCCCAATAGAATTCCTTCTGAAATTAGTTTGTAAAGTAATAACATTAATATCATATCTATAAAAAGTTTATCACTTTCTTAAACTCAATTATAATGAAATAACATACCTTGAATTCTCCAAAATAAAAATCTTTTACAGGTTGCGAGACACCTTTCCAATTGATTCCATTGGGATCAAGTTCATTTTTGAAAGACTTAGCTATGAAAGTAGAGCATGTCGAAGAAGGCTCCAATCTATATAAATTTCAGGACATTATTTAAATACATATGTATCTTATTAAAAATATATATACTAATGATACTATAAACATGGACTAACCCTGTAGGAGTAAGAGTAATAACTGTTCTCCGCTGCCCACGATTATTGGACTCACCTTCACCAATTGTGCTGCTTTGAGTAGATGCACCCTCTCCTATTTGATTACTCTCATTAGGTGTAATAGGAGATGATTCAACATCGGTTGGAATATTATTGTGATTTGGCATTTGAACAGGTGGTGTACTGCTAGGTCCTAGTATTTGAACTTGGTTTGTACGATCAAGCCCACCTATATTAGAACTTGTACCACCTTGTTGAGGACTAACTGTTGTGGGAATAGGAACAGTAGGCATTTTTGGAGGAATAGCAGAATTACCGCGACCTGAGGATTTTCCTACACGACCTGCACTACCTCGACCTCTGCCTCGAGCCATATCTTCAAAATATGTAAGTATTGTAAGATCAACACTTGTAAAAGATCAATTATTTTTAAATAAAGTTCTTCAGTATGTCCAAATGTTACTAAATTTCATGCATATGACATACTAAAAATTAGAGCTAGAATCTCCTGCAGATTTTAAACAGATGACTAAACAGTCTTTTCGAAGTAAAATTTCAGACATATAAAGTCAAAATAGGGGGAGGAAAACTATAATCAACTAAATAAATGCAACTGAAAAATAATATTAGTAGATATCATTGCAGCTACTACAGCACATCTAAGAAGTGAAGAAAGTAGAAAAGAACATGAGAAGAAAGAGTAACTCATCCCACAATAGTGAAGCTGAATACGTAATAGTACAGAAAACAAAAAGAAAAAGTTATCGAAAACTTACCTTACTAGTTGCAGCAGTCGAAGTGAAGACGAAGAAGTCACAATGGTTGAGAATAACCAGCTGAACTCCAAATTTTAAGGAAAATCTATAAAACAAAAGGCAACATCAAAAAATAGAAATCTCAAGTTGAATAAACAAAACAAAATTCTTAATCATATCGAATAGAAGAAAAAGTCATTCAAATATTATTACATTAAAAAAACATAAACTAAGGAAATAATAATATTATGAAAAATTACTACACTCAAAAAATATTGAAGATACAATAACATATTGTTATTAAGAACTAGTCACTATCTAAATCTTCTTCAAATTCTTCCTCATTCTCCTCAGTTTCTTCAGATTCATACTCCTCCTCAGTTTCATACTCCTCCTCTGTAGATTCTCCAGGGATTTCATGATACTTTGGATGTAACCCATCAGTGGGTTCTTCCATTTCAAGTACACCCCCATTTAAATCATGTAAGAGTATTTCTTCATCAACAGAAACATTCATATCTATCTCATGGACTTCAACTTCATTGACTTGAAATGGAACATTCAGTTCTGGAGTTGGTGCCACTTCCTCATCAGGTAATTCCACAACATTACGAGGTTTAACCTTCAATACGGCTAGCCAATCAATCTTGTCCTTTTTCTTGCTAGGATATGGGACATAACACACTTGTGTTGCTTGCATTGCAAGAATAAAAGGTTCATACTTTTTATACCGACGACGTTGGTTAACATCAATCAATTTGTATTGATTATGCTTCTTCACACCAACATCTATAGTTGGGTCAAACCATTCACACTTGAATAAGACAGTTTGCTTTAAAGGTTCTTCACGGTATTCCACTTGTATAATCTCTTTTATCCGTCCATAGTAATCACCAAAGTTTGGATCTGAGATACAAACTCCACTGTTCATTGTTGATCTAGCGCTACCATAACATTCTGTATGAAATTTGTATCCATTAACAAAATACATTGAATGACATGTAGCGCCTATTAATGGTCCATGAGCAAGGCTACGCAAGAATTTATTCTCTATATGATTGCATCGGACCTATTTAAAAAAAGACTTAGTTAAATTCACAAGACAATTTAGGTTACATTACTATATCAAAGTTAATGATCGTTGGAGACTTACGTATTCCTTAAACCATATAGAAAAATATGCCTCAAGGCTCTCATCTATCTGACACTGTGATAAATTGGGAGATTCTTCTTGCAAACGTTGCACGTACATACTTCATTAATACAAAATAAGTTAAATAGAAAGTCATAATATATTAATATGTTTCTAATATTAGGTGAAAATAAATTTTAAATACTACCTCACAAATGGCTCAACCTCTTCACAATTTAGTAATATGTAAGTTTGAGCGGCCTTGATTTCATCAAGTGATAAATTTCTTTTTCTTGTCTCTCCCCATAGTCGACCTGGATGGGTGAATATTGATAGATTTCCTTCAAGATCCTCCGTAATACCACCATCATCATTACGGTCCACATTATGATTACGTGTCATGACATGAGGTTCAAAATAATGAGAAAATAATAGTGTTGACTCTGTCATCAAGTATGCTTCACAAATAGAACCCTCAACACTAGCTTTATTTCCAATCATCCTTTTAAGAGTTCCAAGGTACCTTAATAGATAATAAATGAATGTACCATCATATTAGAATTACCAAGTATAACATGCTTGTCATAATTTTGTCATAAAATTTCACATTTACCTTTCAAAAGGATACATCCATCGATATTGTACAGGTCCAGCGATCTTTGCTTCATATGGTAGGTGCACAGGCAAATGTTCCATCGAGTCAAAGAACCCTGGAGGAAATATACGTTCTAACTTACACAAAATTTGTGGGATATCTGCTTCCAATCTCTCCATGTCATCCACTCGTAGAGTGGTTGAAGTAAGATCTATAAAAATAAGCTCAACTCTGTAAGTGCTTGCCACACATTACTAGGAAGTAATTCACGAAAAGCAATAGGCAAAAGTCTTTGCATGAACACGTGACAATCATGACTTTTCATGCCATATAGCTTTTTTGTATTTGTGTCTGGACATCTACCTAAATTTGAAACATACCCATCTGAAAATTTCAAATCTTTGACCCAATTAAACAAGATAGCTTTCTCTTCCTTGTCTATTGTATATACAGCTTTGGGGTATTTACCATTTGAATCATTTGCCAACTGAGGTCGATCATAATAGTTTACCATATCCAAACGTGATTGTGAATTGTCTTTGGTTTTATCAACAATATTAAGAGCTGTGTTAAATACATTATCAAAGACATTTTTCTCAATATGCATGACATCAAGGTTATGTCGAATCATGTTAGAACTCTAATATGGCAAATCCCAAAGATACTTTGCTTTTCCATCCACAAGACTTACATATTCTTCGATTAACCTCTTCTGCATCTAACTCAGTTACTTTCCTTATCCCTAAGTCACAAATTTGGTTCAAAATCTCCTCTCCTGTTTTGTAAGGTGGTGGAAATCTTTTGACAGTCTTGCCTTTAAAAACGTTTTTACGATCTCTCCGGAAAGGATGATGTTGGTCAAGAAACATCCTATGACTGTCAAACCAAGATGTTTTTCTACCATGTTCTAATCTAAAGGATTGTGTCTCTTCTATACAATAAGGACAAGCTAACTTACCCACAATACTCCATCCTGATTACATAGAATATGCTGGAAAGTCACTTATAGTCCACATCAAAGCTGCCCTTAGTTGAAAGTTTTGCTTTTTTGAAATGTCAAATGCTTCTACACCTGTCTCCCACAACAAGGTCAATTCCTTTATTATAGATTGCAGATAAACATCAATTTTATGTTTGGGATTGTTTGGCCCTGGAATAATGACAGGTAAGAACATATACGCTTCCTTCATGTACATTCCTGGAGGTAAATTATATGGAGTTACAATCACTGGCCACGAAGAGTTATTCCTCCCAGTCTGACTGAATGGTTGGAAACCATTCGTACATAACCCCAATCTTACATTTCTTGGTTCATTGGCAAAAAAGATATGAGTTTCATTGAAGTGTTTCCAAGCATCAGAGTCTGATGGATGACGGATTATCCATTCGTCCTGTGTATGCTCATGATGCCATCTCATATCAGCAGCTGTAGCATGAGATGCATATAATCTTTTTAATCTAGGAATCAAAAGAAAATAATACATTTTCTTAAAATGGACCAATTTCCTCTTACGAGAGCCTACACGACGTTTATACCTCTGATTGCCACAAAATTTACAAGATGTAAGGTTCTCATCATCACCCCAATATAATATACATCCTGATTCACAACAATCAATCTTCTCAACTAGCAAACCCAAGCTACGCACCAACTTTTTTGTTTGATAATAGTTATCAAGCACTATGTTATCTTCAGGTAAAAAATCTTTCAACAATTGCATCATTTGGTTGTAACCTTTCTGTGACATGTTGTTCTCCATTTTAATGCTTAACATCCTAGAGACAACTTCAAGTTAAGAGACGGAGGAACCGGGATACAATTTTGCATCAACAACATATAGTAAATCATAAAATCTTTGAGACTCAGGATTAGGCTCCTCCTCCATTGGAAGATCAGACGCCTCCTCTATTGAAGGATTGATATCCTCCTCCATTGAAATTTCATAAGTATGAGATGACTCATGTTCAATATTGCTTTGAAATTGTCGACTCAAACCTTGATCAAAGTTTGGACCAGCTACATCCAAAACCATTTATCAGTACATATTATCATATCCCAATTCAGGTTGAGTTCCACCATGCAAATCATTAAAATAATACATCTCATCAATAACATCTTCTTCCTCTTGATATTTCCAAACAAAATAGTTCTCAACAAATCCATATTGAAAAAGGTGCTATTTAACCATTTCAACATCTATGTATTTAAGGTTATGCCATTTTTTACAAGGACATTTAATGTTGTCACCACTCATACGATTTTTTTGTGAACATGCATACTGAATAAAGTTATTCACACCGGTTATAAAACTGGAGAGTATACCCCCTCGTCCATCCAACCTCTCATACATCCAACCACGCTTCAAATTACTCATGTTCCTATAAATTTTAGAACAAGCAAGACAATCAGAAATTTCTCTTTTATAAGTTATACAATCTGGATGTCCTCCAAAGAAAAGATCAGATTAAAATACCTTTATGAAAAAGAGTATATCTTTGCACTTTTTAAATCATTCGCCGCCTTTTCTGTTAATATAAGTGTTCTTGATCACTGTCCAGTTATCTTAAAATATATTATTCCATTAATCCTAAGTTACAAAAAGTGCAATAACAAGAAAATGATAAGTTGCAGGAAGTGCAATGTCAAGGAAAGGTTCATACTGAAATACCTTTATTAGTGCTCCTTTATGTTTTTTTATCACTGTCCAGTTAGTTTAGTATGATTTGACCCAACTATAATGTTATTTTAAAATAGTGTACTCTCTTAAATCCCTACACATAAATGATATGATGATTTGTTCTACTACTAATTCTAGTTTAGGCTAATTAAATGTCAAGTCATTTGATAATTATAAGCCTAAAGTTAGATCATAAAATAAGTACTACACTTGTTGTATCGTACTCTAATTATTGTAAAGTTACAAAAAGTGTGATGCCAAAAAGATAATACAAATATTACTGCAAACAATCAAGAAAGTGGTTTGAATTTCATTTCTCTTGCTAGTAACTAATTTCTAGTGTTACGATTGTAAATATAATGGAGTACCAAATAAAAATCATACCGAGGAGCTGAAAAGTTGAGAAAAGGTGGATGAAAAGAGAAGGATGCAGGGCGAGTGAAATTAGTGGAACAAGACGAGATTTGAGAGCCTTGAAAGATTGCAACGTCAACAAAATCTGTGTATAACATTTGAAATATTAACCACCATAGCATAATTATCCCATGTCTGCTCACAATCAATACCCTTCTGAAAGTTTCATCAAGCATAAAGATGGACAACCCAAAATATTAAACAAACTATGAGAGATAAGTAGAACTTACGTAAACTTGATATAGTTGTTCTTAGGATAAATAAGCAGCAACACGTTCACGAAGAAGCAAAAGTCCACATATTCTCCACAAACTATAATAACACCATGTGGAAAAGAAAAAAATACAAACTTAAATATCATTGTATGTTGATCAGGTGAATTTCTTTACATAAATAGAGGAGCACAAAGAAAAGAAACAGAGAAAGCAAGCAGTTACTTAATAGCTATGAAAAATTGAACTTTGCATACTTTACATTAAATCTAAAATTTGTGAAAGACATGTTAATCTGATTAACCATCAGAGATCTCAATCACTTATATCTAATCCAGCAGAGTATGACAACGAGAACTCAAGAAGAATCTTTCATTTGATATGGAGCAAGGAAAAAATCTTTAGATACACCAAAATTTGATTGACTTACTGCAGAAATTTAGGTACAGATAAAAATATTGGATGAAAATTTTGCTAGTCTCTTCTTG